GCTGTCCTCTTTTTTTTTTTTTGTATGTGTCTTCTAAGCACAGAGGTAGCATTATAAACTATTTCTATTGCTCTTTCATTATGATAAGTGTTATTGTGTTGTTTAGCAAATTCATTGATTTGTTTAGATGCTTTTATTGGGCTTCAGCTACTATCAGAGATTGTCTTGGCTACTGAGAGTACAACGTTGAATACGATGATTTTATTTCTGCCAACTTTTGTTTTAGGTGCTATGAAAGAAGTCTGTAGCAAACAATGGGATCACAAAAGATGTAGTTAGTATTCATTCTGTCTGAAAGAGGACTGGGGCCACTCAAGAAAAGCTCTATGCTTGGGCTGAGTCTCAAAGGGTGACACGGGTGAGATGACACAGGACAGTATACGTGAGCAGGCAGAGGACTCCAGCTAAGATGTGAGCAGCAGCTTACTTTGTTCACAAAATGGCTAGAAGTTGGCCTGGCAGGTGCTTGAAGTACACAGACACAGGATGTGATGAGCAAACACAAGGGAGGTGGGCAAGGGTTTTATCTTATTTTATTTTTTAATGTGTATTTATCTTGAGAGAGAGCAAGTGGGGGAAAAGGAGAGAAAATCCCAAGCGGGCTCTGCCCTGTCAACAGAGAGCTGGATGCAGGGTTCAAACTCAACGAATCGGGAGATCATGACCTGAGCTGAAATCAGGAGTCAGACACTTAACTGACCCAGGCGCCCCAGCAAAGGCTTTAAATATTAAAAATATTGAAAAGTAGGGCTTTTAAAGGAGTCTTTCTAGAGGCTTAAGCAGGTATGAAACATGATTTTAGATTTCATTGTTTTGAAAGGTCACTGATGGATTTTGAAGAGGAATGACTGTCCAGCAAGAAAAGCAGGCCAGACAGAAATAGTAGTAGAAGAATGGCACAAAAAATTGGAACAAGATTACTAGGGAGATGTAATAAACCAGACTTTGTGGAAGGGAGTGGAGTGAGTGAAGAAGAGTGGGGAGAGGTAGAGCCATCATTGGAGGAGAGAAAAAAAGGAGTAGAAAAAGAGGGAGGTGGGTGGGGCACCTGGGTGGCTCAGTCAGTTGAGCATCCAGTTTTGGCTCAGGTCATGATCTCATGGCCTGTGAGTTCGAGTCCTGCATCAGACTCTGTGCTGACAACCTGGAGCCTGCTTTGGTTTCTGTGTCTGTCTCCCTCTCTCTCTTCCCCTCCCCCACTCATGCTCTGTCTCTCTCACTGTCAAAAATAAAATAAAAACATTTTAAAAACTAAAAAAAAAAGGAAGGTAAAGAAATCGAGTTAATGAGCGTGTTGTATTCTTTTGAGGTACTTGACTGTGGCAGAGAGGTTGTGTGTGTGTGTGTGTGTAAAAGTTATCAAGGTTAATAAACCTATGCATAGGTTATAGGGTGAGAGTGAGCAGAGAGAGGTTGAATATACATTTGGTTTGACAGGATAAAAATTTAAAGTACATATTTCATGACCTGGTGTTTCCACTTTTCAATACTTGTCCTAGAGCAGTGGTTCTCAAATTTTAGTGAGCATCACAGTTACCTAGGAAACAGATTCCTGGGCCCCTCCTCTGGAGATTCAGTAGGTGTGAGTTGAGCCTGAGAATTTGCATTTCTCAAAAGTTCCCAGATAATGCTGTATTTTTGCAATGAACACTTGGAAACAACCTAAATGTTCAATAGGTGGGAAAATGGCTAAACTGTGGTATAAACACACTGAAATACTCTGTGGCAGTTAAAAAGAATGAGGTAAGTTTCTGGATACTAAAGTGAAGGATCTCCATGACCTGTTACACTAAAAGACCCAAGATGAGGCACCTGGGTGGCTCAGTCAGTTAAGTGTCCTGACTCTTGATTTTGACTCAGGTCATGATCTTGTAGTTCATGAGTTCGAGCCCATATAGTGTGGTACCATTTACGTTAAGAAAATAATATGACCAATTTATATATGTATGTGTGTATTAGGAAAAAACTTGGACGCCCACACATTTAATGGATAATCTCAAGGGAGGGAACCAAGTTTGTAGGGGTGGGCAGAAGGTTGGGAGTTGGTTATAGAGAATGTTTGCCTTACTTTATTGTTGAATGTTTTTACAAGGAAAGTTTATGTATTGTGTAATTAAAATTTTTAATTTTTTTTTTTTTACTGTTTTATTTTTGAGAGCAAGCAGGGGAGGGGCAGAGAGACAGACACAGAATCTGAAGCAGGCTGCAGGCTCTGAGCTGTCAGCACAGAGCCCGACATGGAGCTCACCTTTGGGGGAGGGGAGAGGGACTGGAGATGAAGCCAATCATAAAGGGCAGTGATTTAATCAAGTGTGCCTACATAGTGCCTACATAAACCTTTCAAATTCCATTAAAATTTCTCATTAAAATTTATTTCGTACATTTTTCTCTCTCTCCCTCTGGCCCTCTCCCCTGCTTACACTCTCTCTCTCTCTACAATAAAAAAAATAATTTATTTTATACCTTTTCTTCCTTTCCCTTAATAATGAATGTGGAGGTGATAGAATTTTGTTTCAATTCTCTGTAGCCTGCAGACACTGCTGGACACACAGGGATAGGGATTCTTAACCAGGAAACTACATATCTCACCTGTGTGTGGACCCTGCAGATTGCATGCTAAATTTACGTGCATGTGTGTGCACGCACGCGTATGTTTTTGGATTGGTTGATGATCAGTGATTTTTAAGTACATTTTCATGTGAGTTCCTGACCTAACAGAGGATTGCAGAATAATGACAAATGCTAAATGTTCTTTGGGAACTCTTTACTTTTAAAAGATGGCACAGGTAGTGCTCACTCCTTGTTTTCAGCAAATAAGGAGAAAATGTGATGTTGTGGTAACATATATTTTGTCTTCACCCCCTGATTCCTGATACAAGAGCTTCTAAAACCCTTGTTGGTAACTTCCTGAGTCAGGGGTGAGAGGAGTGTCTTTTGTTACTCATAATAATCCCCTTACAATTTATTAACTTCTGAGTTTATGCTAATGAGGAACTTGTGGGTCCCTAGGTAGCTTCTACGCAGGGCTGGTTGCAGTAGGAACCAACCCTGTGATTATGGGTTGCAATTTTCAGGACCTCAGAAGAGGTGCTAGAGATTAGGCTAAACACCAGTAACCAGTGATTTAATCAATTGTACCTGTGCAATAAAAGCCCATTCAGAGACTTGGCATCTGAAGTGGAACAGTCTTGTGGGACTGAGCCTTTAAACCTGTAGAGTGTGACACTAACTCTTGATAGTGTCAGAATATGATGGAATTGTAGGACATCGAGTTGTCAGAGTTGGAGAGCTGGTTGCTGGTGTGGAAAAATGCACCCATTTGGTGTCAGAAGTGTTGTAAGTAAAAACAGTTCAGAGACAAGTGGCTGTATTGTGTTACTTGCAGCAACCCTGAGAGCATTGCTACTGAAATCAGAAGGGATACTTGGCTTTTTTAAGGTTAGGAGGTTTGGTAGCGGGTGCAGTAGAGTAAGGAATTTTAATGTTGAGTTGGAGGGTGGTTGTACCATATGGTTTTAGCCAAATAAGGAAGGAAATGAAGCTTTGAACTGGATGTGGGACTGGGAAAAGAGGAAAGAATCAAGAGGGTAGAGGCATGGACAGAGGTTAGACACAGCAAAGTGGGAACGTCAGGTGGGGGATCACCATTGGAAGGAGAAAGAATTACCAAATATGGGGCTAAAGGGGTGTGTGTTTTGACTTGGTTGAAGATGGCATGAATGACAGTAATGGTTGGGTGGACCGTACTCTATGTTACTGGAGTGTGCAGACCAAGGTCATAGATGGTGTTGTTAGTCTGACGGGTAGCAGGTAGCACTCTGCTTGAAGGTCAAGAGGAACATTCCTAAAGGTGTTCTGTTGTGTTTGAATAGGACCTTCCCTTAGCAATTAGGTAAGAAGTTTAACTGGCTTCTCTCAATGGAATCCTCTGCCCATGGAGACTAGGTGGCTATGTGTGGTGAAATAGAGAGGCCGAGAGCAACTTGGGGGGATAGGGCCCTAGAGCAGGGCTCTCCGTAGTTTATACATGAACTTGACATTTATTTTATTCCTTTCAGTTGTTACGCAGCATTAATTGTGGGCATTCATCATAAATATCTTACATAAATTGTAGCTGTGTAGTAGTTGACCGGTGTTAACTGGAGTGAGTCTTTTTGCTGAATCTTTGCTTCCCCACCCACTCTTATTGTCTTTAATTATTCTCTGTGTGTAAAATGAGATTGGTTGTGCTGAATCTTTGTAGTCCCTTCCCACTCTTACGGTTTGCTTCCTTGAAACGCATTCAGTATATAGAGTTTTATAAAATTAGTACTTGAAAAGATGGTTGACCTTTTGAAAGCTTTAGTAAAGGTTTTTTTGTTTTTTTGTTTTTTGTTTTATTTATTTATTTATTTTTTATTTTTTATTTTTTATTTATTAATTTTTTTTTTGAGAGAGAGAGATCAAGCAAGCAAGCACACACACAAAGGAGGCGGGCAGAGGGAGAGGGGAAGGATCTGAAGCAGGCTCCACGCCTAGTACCATGCCCAACATGGGGCTCAATCTCAAGACCGTGAGATTGACCTGAGTCGGATGCTTAACTGACTGAGCCACCCAGGTGCCCCAAGATTTTTTCTTTCATTCCTTTTTTGGAAATTATTTATCCAAGGCTGGAGATATCTAAATCAAGAAAGCTTAAAGGGGCACCTGGGTGGTTCAGTCGGTTAAGTGTCCGACTTCAGCTTAGGTCATGATCTCACAGTTTGTAGGTTCGAGCCCTGAGTCAGGCTCAGTGCTGGCAGCTCAGAGCCTGGAGCCTGCCTCAGATTCTGTGTCTCCGCCCCTCCCCTGCGTATGCTCTCTCTCTGTCTGTCTCTCTCTCAAAAATAAACATTTTTTTTTTTTTTTAAATCAAGCTTAAATTCTGTTTTAGGTACTGTATTTTTAGTTTTGCAGGTAGTGATCAGTATTCACTATCTATGTTGTCACTTCAGTAACAGTACTTTCTTTTCTCTAAACAGAGAAGCTGAATATTAAGTTTGTGCATCCAGAGGCTAGAACTGGACTGCTGTCTTTTGAGGAGAGCCAGAGAATTAAGAAACTCCATGAAAAAAACAAACAATTCCTGAGTGTACCACGGAGGTGAGTTGAACAAGAATGTGGGACATTATAAGGCATAACAAGACCCCTGAGTATAAAATTTTTAATTTGGTGTTCTCTTTTTGCCTGTTTCCTTTTCTCAGCTGTCATTATTAAATCCAAATCCCATTTTATTTTGGTAACTCGTGGATTGTTTTTTCCCTCTGTAATTGTTTCAGACCAAAGTGGGACAAAAACACTAGTCCTGAAGAACTCAAACAGGCAGAGAAAGATAACTTTCTAGAATGGAGACATCAGCTTGTCCGGTGAGTATTAGAAGATAGGAAGATTTGTCTTGAAATTCTGAGTCTGACATTTTGGTGTGTTTGCACTATTTGCATTTTGAAGGCTTGATTCTTTTAGAAGGGAAATGGTAGATTTCTTCTTATAAGTGCGGTTTCTTTGTGCAACCAGCATTGCTGGGTACTCATGCATCTTTGCCCAGAGATGGTAAATTGATTACTCTGCTCTGTTCCTGGCCTTCTCTCTTTTTCATACCCTTCTGTAGCCATTAGTCATCCTGGAGTTCATCACCGCTCTCTTGAGCATTCCTCCAGAAAGAGGTGCGTGGGAGAAATGTCATTTTGTGTGCTAAACTTCCAGGGCTTAAATAGATTAAGTATACAATTTCAAATTTGATTTTCATATTGACTCAGTAGAAAGTATATAAAAACAATTTGATAGTATTTGTGTGCGTGTGTGGGGGTGTGTGTGTGAGCTTATTTTTTAATGCAATTAATTTGAGTGTTTATACTACTGGAAACCATCAGTTATAATCTGGCAAAGATATAAACTTTTCATTCTAAAGCCAGGCTAGAAGAGGAACAAAAGTTACTGTTGACTCCATTTGAAAGAAATTTGGACTTTTGGCGCCAGCTGTGGAGGGTGATTGAGAGAAGGTAAGTTACCATTTTCTTTTTGTCTAACCAAGACATTAGTAGTATTACATTAATCATATCTGGATGTTGATGAATGCTCATAGGCTCACGGGGCGGGGTGCTCAGGGCTTAAAGTATGCAAAAAGCTATTGATAATTATTATAAAAACTGAAAATAAGATGCTGTATTTCTTTTAAAATACTGATTTTCTTTTTTTTTTTTTTTTTTTTTTTTTTTTTTTTTTTTTTTTTTTTTTTTAGTGAACACTTTGATAGCATGTAGGAATGGTAAATGTTTTCTGTAAGATAAGTTCTAAAGTACCTACAGTTATTTCAGCAAATGTCTGTTGAATCCTATTGGAAATATGGAAAATACGGGTGTGAACAGGAGTAGGTGTCTGACCACAAAGAGAAAATATGTTGGGCAGTGGGCATCAGGGGCACACAAAGGAATGAAATGCAGTCTTGTCAGATGATTCAATACCCAGTAAATCCAAAGTGCTTATGATTCTTGCTGTGTTACAGATAGAAAGGCAGTGGGCTATGTTCTTACAGAGGAAGGAGCAGCTGATAAGGATTGGGCGGAATCAAGGAGTGGTTTATTTTAATTGGAATTAGATAGTGGTGATGGTTGCACAACTTTGTGTATATACTAAAAACCACTGAATTGCATACTTAGAAAGGGTTAATTTTACCTCAATTATAGGTAAGAGGTGGATTATACCTCAGTTTTTTTTTTTAAGTCATTTACATGTCTTCCCCATCCTGCTCCCTCAGGGGCAGAGACAGGGCTATTGGGCTGGAATATGGGGAAGTCACAGTAACAAGGCAAATCTCTAAGTCTGAAAAAAAGTAGAAGCTTGCTGCTGGTTCCCAGGGTCTGTGCAGGCCCCTTTGATTCAGTTAGGCTTCAGTGAGGTTTGGGAAGACCCACTATGATTCTTCTGGGAACTTCTTTGGAGCAGAGTGGATCTCTCCTTCAGTGCCTCATTAACAGTTGAAGATGTGGACTGCTGAAATGCCTGTTTTCTTATTTCCAAAGAGAAATAATAAGCTTTAAAGTAATGAAACCTCACCTTGGAATACTCCCATCTGCACATTTACAGTATTGTTTTTTCTGTTTGTTTTTTTTATTTTAGATTTTTTATTATATTGTCTGTCTTTCCTCTCTGTTCCTTTTTTTTTCCATTTATTCTGGTTTCTGACTTTTATGTAAGAGGCCTTTCTCACGTGTCAAGCGATGTTTATTGTCTGTTTGTATCTAAGAATGAAGCATTACAAAGGGGATTGACAAGACCACCTGTTTGGATGGAATTTGACAACTGGTGACTTCACTGTATAGGACTGAACAGGGATCAGTTTTATTTTGTTGGAATACCCCAAGATGTTAGGCTCTATGGGTGTTTTCCCTAGATCCAGTCAGTTTCTTAAAGATAAAAATTCTGTCCTACTGAGAACGTCGCTAAAGGTGGGAGTATAACGCAAGGTGTGTGGGCATGTTCACCATTGGGTATGTAGGCTTGTTTAATCCACCCTTTTTCAGTATAGCATCTCTTTCCCATCTTCTCCTGTTGCTTGAGGTTCCAATTCTGGAGACTCTTGGGTTCATTTTCTCTATAAGAAACCCTAGCCATCTGCTATTGGAATAGGAGAATCAGGCGGTGTAACTGCCAGACTGAACGGAACAGAAGAGAGGACCTAAGAGCTCCTCACCAGATTGATGTCAGTCCCATTCTTCACCCTTGCCTCAAGGCCTTCATCTGATGCCTCTAGTCCCGAGCTCCCTCAGGGCTCTGAGGCGTGAACAGGCTTCTTGATTGCGCTACCATGTCTCAGTTGCTGCTGTTCTTTCTTTCTCTTTATCCTGACGAGCATCAGAGTTTGCTTTCGTTTTTGTAGGTTTTAAGAGGGAACAGAGGTAACCATATGTGTTCCTTCTTCCACATTTGACACACTTTTTATGTCCCTAAATAAGCTACTGGTTTCCCCAGAGTGAGCCTGTAGCTTCAATAGATTTACAATATTACTTGTTCTGTTAGTTTTATTATGCTGTATTTTTCTGTTTATAAGAGAGAGCGTATTTCTAGCTCAGTATAGTTTAGATCACATGGAAGTGGATCTGAATTACATGGAAATATTTTTTTTTTTTAATTTTTTTTTAACGTTTATTTATTTTTGAGACAGGGAGAGACAGCATGAACAGGGGAGGGCCAGAGAGAGGGAGACACAGAATATGAAGCAGGCTCCAGGCTCTGAGCTGTCAGCACAGAGCCCGACGCGGGGCTAGAACTCAACGGACCGCAAGATCATGACCTGAGCCGAAGTCGGCCGCCTAACCGACTGAGCCACCCAGGCTCCCCACATAGAAATATTATTAATAAAGGGACTACTGCCACATTTTTTAACAGGAAATATTTGTTGATGTGTTTTGCATAGCAGATGTCTCCTGTTTGGTAATAAGCTAGCTAAGCCATCTGGCTCTTTAATTTCGAGAGTCGTTATTGGAAAAGATCCGATGTATACCCTGTAATTGAAATGCAGGAAGCTGCTGGGGCACTGAGGGCAGAACACCGTATTCCAGTAAGATAAGGCATTATTGTGCTGCATGAGCCTTTTCTGGTATACAGCACTTTGCATGTGCTAATTCAGCACATGAAGCAACTGCCTTTTTTTTTTTTTTT